GGAAAGTCCCCTCCGAAGCAGTTTTATTTCCTAGCGTCACAGTTCAGAGCTCCCCTCCCCCAGCCGGCGTGCTTTACAAGTATGGCTGCTGCCTCTCAACCCAGTAAGGCTGGCTGATAGAAGGTAAATGTTATTCCAGATATCTGTGGCTAAGTATTTACCCTTTCTGTTCTTTTTTGGAGTCTGTCTCTCAAGTCACTCTGGATGATAGGTTACCATTTACTGCCATCAACTGGAAATAGAACTTCTATTATTGTAAGCCAGCAAGTACAACTTAGAATCTTTACCCTGTATATTGCTGTAGGAGGACCATAGAGCAGAAGTGAAATTGGTTTCGGGAATGGACTTGTCATGAATTATTCATTAACTACCTCATTCCTTGGAGGTCAGCTGGAGGAAGTAGTTAGTGGAGTTTGATGGCAGGAGGGCAGCAGCAGAGCAGTGTGGTTCTGCTGGCTGCTGCAGAGCTGCTGGGCAGCTGCAGTTGAGGCACAGCCTGTCCCTGCACAGGGTGCCACGCTGCCTGAGAGAGCTGCACTGAGGACACGCCCATGCATTCCTGTTAGAAGGTGAAGCTTCAGGTAGGAGTAGTGTCCTGTCAGCACTGCCCAGGTTTCTCACTGACTGAAGAATGCTATAACAAGCTCTGGAACATCAGAGTTGCTCAAGGATCCGTCCCTGGAAGCCCACACATTAGTCTGGCAGTTCGTATTGCCAGGAATGTACATTGCTTCTAATAGAGTGTGCTCTAATAGTCTATATCCCTTGCATTTGTCGAGCATATTCCTAAGACAATAAACTTCTAAATGTCGTGTCTCAATTTTTTATTGTCATCCTTTGATGTAAAATATCTTTTTATTAATGTTTTATTTAAATGTTTAAATTAACAATTTAATTTTGAATTTTGTAGTTTGACTTTGAATTCTGAGAAAAATAGCCTATTATTTGAATCAATGAAGCTACAGACTCTTTTCTAGGGGAGGCATTGTCTGCAGACTATCTCCGTTGTTTCTATGGGAGCATTTGGAAAAATAGACAGAAGATGGAACAAAGGGTCTTTGTTCTGTTGATGTTATTTACCATGTATGCATGTGAGCTATTGTGTGTGTATATGTATGTGTGTGTATGTGTAATTACATATGCATTTGCAGACTAGACATGTAATTTCATTTGATGGTGCTGTTTTGAGGTTGTCTTTTGCTTTGTCCTTTAGATATTGTATGGATGATGTCTTTGTTTGTTGAGACTGTAAGATGCTTCTGAGCAGTAGGACACAGAATTACATAAAAATAATCAGGACCAAATCTGATAACACTTTTTTTTGAGACAGGGTCTTGCTCTATAGACTAGGCTAGGCTTAAACCAATGATCCTCCTATTCAGCTTCCCAAATACTGTGAGTATAGGCATGGGCCATCATGCTCAACTTTCCTACTCCTTTTTATTAAGCTCTATGAATGTGGGGGTCTTTGTTTTATTTGCCATCCCCATTCTTAAGGTCTTAGAAGAATACCTGGCTTGTAGTTTCTAGCCAATAAGTGTGTCTCTAAATGAGTGCATTCTTTAAGATTTCCAATATCTTTTGTAGGAAGTAGTATAACTTAAGTAATTTATTTTATGTGTATGTTTGCCTGCATGTATGTATGTGCACCATGTGTGAGCCTGGTGCCCACAAAGGTCAAAAGAGAGAATATCAGAGCCCACTGAAACTGGAGCTGTAGACAGTCGTGAGCTGTTCTGTGGGTGCTGGGAATCAAACCCTTGTTCTCTGTAAGAGTAGCTAGTGCTTTAACTGCTGACTCATTTCTCCAGCCCACATGTATAATTTCTAAGAAACAAAAATGTCTATTCATTTGTTTATATAATTAATAATAACTATCAGTTATGAATACAAAGATCCTTAGTAGAAAATGCATTGGAAAAGATTGTATTCTTCAGTACGATGCTGCCATAATTATTATTCTAATTTTAGCATGTTGTATGTTACAATTTGAAAAACATTTGTCAGTCTGTGTCACAGGGAACTATGTGTTTATTTATTTATGATTTCAGAAGTTTTAAATTTTGTGTATCTGATACTTAGTGATATTAAGGGAAGCAGTATGTTCCAGTGAGACACAATATGTTTAGCTGGGTGTGGTGCTGCATGTCTTTAGTCTCAGGGCTGAGGGCAGGCTGATCTCTGAGTTTAAGGCCAGCCTTCTCTATACAGTGAGACTTTACTTTTGGTTTTTTAAAGATGCACTCTGTTTATGAGCTCAGAGTTACCACCAGTGTCATCTCCTTTAATACTCCCCTCAGCCGTCTATAAAGCCCGCCTTATAAAAGAGACAGCTGAGGAGGGTGGAGGAGTGTTCAAATTCCTGTCTTTTAAAGGACCCAGGTTCAGTTCCTGTCCTTCATGTCAAGTGGCTCACAGCTGGCTTGAGCCCTGAGGGACACAGTACACTCTTCTGGCCTTTGAGGGTACGTGCATACACAGGCATACACTCACACACACACACACACACACATACATCTAAAAAATCTTTTTAAATGAATTTAAAAAAGAAAGAAAAGTAACAGAGAAAGCTGAATTCCAGAGTCTAGGAGAATGGATCCTGAACAGGTGTTAGCTGCTGTGTCTATGTCCAGTCAGCTCATCTAATTTCCTAGTGCTTGTCACTTTGCTACTACTTACAGTTCTCAAAAGAATTAACAAGCAAAGCAGAGCAGACAGATGCATGTCTATTAATTTAGGTTGCACTGCCTTATCTTACTTTGAGTAAGTTTACCTTAGTATATTTGTTGAATATAGTTTTACAAGTCATAGTCACAATCTTGTTTATGATTTTGGATATGTGTATACATATATACATACATTATTGACTAGAATCCACATATGAGGGAAAACATGCATTTTCCCCTTTCTGAATTTGTAAGCTATAAATATGTTATATATTTTTCTTTCCTTAAATGTTTTTAAATTTCAACTAAAGCAAGGTGCCCAGTCATAATCCATATTTCTGTTGCCTAGGTATTTTCATTTAGCAGTCAAAAATGTAGACATTGAGTGCTCCCCATCTTTTTAATTAGAGGCCCCCCCATAGTTGCAAGTTGAATTAACACAGTTATCAAAACCAGCTGGAGTATCAAAGAACTGTTTTTCTAACATCTCCTCCATCCTTGTTTTCAATATTGGAGGAGTGGCAGGGGAGACAATAGAAGTGAGCACATAGCACACTGAGTAGTAGCAGTGCTAGTGTAATGCTTTTCATCACCTTAATCCCAGCACTCAGGAGGGTCGCTGTAAGTTCAAGGTTAGCTTGATCTACAGAGAAAGTTTCAGGCCAGCCAAGGCTACGTAGAGAGATCCTTTCTCTAAGCAAAAAACAAAACAAACAACATTTAGAAACCAAAGTGTTTTCAGAGTAAACAAACAAAATGGATCCCTTAAACCAAGTGTTCTGAAAGCAAACCATGAAAGGTAGTCCTTAACTAGAATCCTAAACAACCATCTGAGAATAAACCACTAGACCAAACCAAACCAAGGTTTGGTGAGAGCATCAGAGGAACTCACCAACCTCTACCCATAAAGCAGTGCCAGGCTATCAGTAGAAGGACAATGCCAGTACCTGGCTCTGATCTGGGTGACTTCTCCCATTAGGGTGACTTGGCCTTGGGATTCCGTATTTAAGGCACCATAAGTAATGATGCAACAAGTAAAGCTCTTAGAGAGAGTGAGATTGAGTATTCTAAATCCAAACTGGAGTGCCTGTGACCCAGGAACAGAAATGTATGCCATCCTAAACACAATGTTCCAATATGGTAACAGTTTCATGAGGTTTGTATAGTAACAGAACAAAGAAAATAATAAATTATGGCCTTGGTCATAATACACTGGTGGAAGCATGAGGCAGACAAGTGACATCAAAGCAGAGAAACCTTTGCAAGAGGCCTGAGTGTATCTGATGACATATTTAATTCTGGGTAGGCAAAAACTATGAATCTGTCTATACAGTCCAAAATTACATGCCTGGTAGTCACTGTTAGACTTTAGGGTTAGAAAGGAGGGAAGCCAGAGAGCAAGAAAAAGCTGTGATCTCTCTGGGGAGCTGTGTTACAGTCACTGCAGACATAGGCAGCACATACAGTCAGGTTCAGGCTGTCTTTCTGTGGAGAGCTGTGTTACAGTCACTGCACACACAGGTAACACAAGTATGGCCAGGTTCTGAAGCAAGAGAAGCTACAATTCCACCAGACAAAGCAGGGTGCACACTCTTCAAGGTCTCCTAGGGAGAGGAGGGGCTTAGGTTAATATGTGACCTGTAGTGTCCAGGTGCCTGCTGGATAGGATAGAGCTTGCCGGGAACATAAAGCTTGGTATGTGAGTGAGCAGCCAGAGGGTCTGTGATCCAACAGCCATGGGAGTTTTAGGTCATACACAGCAGTGGGCAATGAATGATTATTTAACAGGCTTTTGATCCCCAAGGTAGTTTGGCTCTGGACCTGCAATAATCTAACCTCCTCACAATCAATGATATTCTGGTCACATATCAGCCTCTTTGTGTGTAATGTAGGTGTGATTTCTTGTCAGCTAACAAAGCAAAGGGGTCCCTCTAGTGCCCTCCCACCCAGTCTGTCTTTAGGTTTATACAGTGAGGTTTCTGTTTAAATGGGAAGAAGGTACAAGGTGCACTTAGTTAAGCAGTTCTGGTCAAACAAAGAGGTACCTATCCATGACTCTGAACTATGACTTGAAAGTATCTTAAGACAGTTATGGTGGCTTTATTTGAATAGTTCCAATATCTTGCTCTTTCTTTGATAAATTCCTTTAGGGGAAGGACGATTGTTTTATTTACTTTTGCCCAAATTTCCAATTTTAATACCTAGGAATATACATCTAGTATAGTGGTGTGTGCTTACAGGAATAACCTGTTACTAGAAGTGTCATAATTGATTATTCTTTGCATGTTTTTAATCACAGCTTAATAATTGCTACCTGTTTTGGCTTTCTTGCAGAATGAGAAGACTTTGGGACATTCCATGAGTCATCCAAGTAACATTTCTAAGGTGAAGTGCCACCAAAATACATTATTTTGATCTCTGGGACTTTTATGTTCTCAGACTTTACATGTATTAAAACTCTCATTTTTTGAAAATGGGGAGGTTACATGTGTGTACATGTTCTTATATGCATGCTAGTACATGTGTATACATGTTCCCATATGCATGCTTGTGCATGTGTGACGTCTGGAAGCCAGAGGTCAGTATCAGGTGTATTCATTTATTGTTCTCTATCTTACTTTTTGAGATTGGGTCTGTCTGGTGCTCGTTAATTCAGCAAGACTAACTGGAATTCAGGCTCACTTTCTCATGCTTAGGCAGCAGACGCTGTGTCATCTCAGCCCCTTCCCAGCCCTCTATGCTTGATGCATTTCTGTAGTTTGCTCTGGGACCATGTAAAGCTTGTGGCAGGTGTCATTTTCCAGTGAGGCAACTTTGAGTGTGTGGCAGGAGAGGTGACTTCTAGAGAAACTCCATCCCCACCTCCTCAAATCATACTTTTCAGGCAGAGAATTCTCAGGCACCAGAATCTGTTTCTCCAGTTAGGAATGCGTTTGGCTGGAAATGGATTTATATGACTCGGGTGACAAGACATCTGGAAGTAAATAGTCTAGAGCTTACTCACAGCACCATCTCCCTGTTTTTTTCACTTAACTGTAACCTTTCATATCTTTAAATTCTGTGGACCCTAACTATATCTCAGCTTCCCCATCCCAGCCAACCTTTCCCTCCTCAATGCTTTTCTCTGTTGACCTAATAATTAATTCCCTCCCTCCCTCCTTCCCTCCTTCCCTCCCTCGCTCTTTCCCTCCCTCCCTCCTTCCTTCCTTTCTTCCTTCCTTTTTCTTTTTATTTTGAGGCAAAGTCTTACTATGTAACCCTGGCTGTCCTGGAATTTACTATGTAGACAAGGCTGGCCTTGAACTCACAGAGATCTGCCTGCCTTCACCTCCCAAGATTGAAGGCATTGACCATTGTGCTCACCTAATAATTAATAACTTACCGTGCACCTTCCTGCTTTGTTCTTTTTCCCAGTAGTTACTGAAGTTAGAAGGGATGTGGTTTTTAAACCTCACTGAATCATATTTTTCTAGTTGACCCACGAAGTAGTTTTGAGTCTACACTCTGAGGTAATGTAGGGGATGACACTTGGTTCCCAGAGCGTGTAAACTGGGAATTTAGCTAGTGAACTACTATAAATATACTAGTCCCACCTGAACCTTGCAAATACTTTAATTCAAAGAACATAACTGATAAAAAAACCTAGCCATGGAAACAATCCCTGATGCACAAGTTGACATTGTTCTAGAAACATCTGTTTATACCGTGTGTGTGTGTCCGTGTGCGATTGCACTTATATGATGATCAGAGATTGATATGGAGTCTTCTTTTGTTCTCTGCCCTAGTTTATTTTGAGATACGGACTCTCACTGAACTTGGAGCTCTTTGGCTAACAAGTGAGATTCTGGAATCTGCCTGTCTCCACCCTCACCCCAAACACTGGAATTACAGGTGTACACTACCCACTTAGTTTTTTACATGGATGCTAGGGATTCAGACTTATTCACTGTGCCATCTCCCTATCCTCATAAGCCCTAATAGGTATAATAGAAGAAGCGAACCAGCTATAAAGATGGAGAATAGGAGGGTAACAAGCCCCCTTTGAAGTAAACCCAAGTCAGGACCAGCCCTACAGGTTGGTATTGAAGCATCCCTAGAGACAGGAGCTGTGGGGCCTAGGGCTGAGGAAGACTGAGGCTGAGGCTGATGAGGCTGGTGAAATTTGAAGATGGGTTTAGAAATGTCATTGGTTTAAGGCATGGATTGGTAGTTAGTTACTCAGTGGTAGAGTGCTTGCCCTATATGCATGAAGGCAGATATAATGAGATATAATGTGTTTCCATACTGTGTGTGTGTGTGTGTGTGTGTGTGTGTGTGTGTGTGTGTGTGTTGGGAGGGGGGATATGAACTTTTAAAATGGCTGATTTCATTTCCCACCTTCATCTCATCTGACTTTGGAGTAGCAGATCTAGTATAATGTCCTGTGTTCTCATTGGCATCATTTTCTGCCTGTGTTTTAAACTAGAAGTTGTGTGGCCCTTGAACTAAGGTGAGCAAGACAAGTAGCCTGAGCAGAAGCTTTCTCCCCGTGAGGAGTTGAGGTGGGGCTCTTGTGGGAAGGGGTCAGTCCTAACAGAGGTGGAACCTGTGGACTCACTGTGTGAGTCATCAGAGGCGAGTCTGCAAGAAGCTCTGTAGCACACACTGCATGCTGTGTGCCCTTCCTTCCTCTCTTCTGGGTTTACTTGATCGTTGCATCAGGTCTTCGACTTGACTTGGTAATAATTTAGTGTGTGTGCACACTCACATGTGTGCAAGTGCACGTGAATGTGCATATACGTAGTGGAGCAGAGAACAGCCTTGGGTGTTAACATCTCAGGAGCTATCCATCTTGTTTTTTTTGAGACAGGGTTTCTTACTAGCCTAAGACTTGCCAAGTGGGCTAGACTGGCTGGCCAGTCAGCCTCAGGAACCATCTGTCTCCACCTCTCCTCTGGGATTAGAAGAGGGCACCATAATGCCAAGTTCCTCCTACCAGTCCTATAGGCTCTAGGAACAGAAGTCAGTTCCTTGTACTTGACTGTTGACTGAGCTGTTTCCTGGGGTCCTTGGCCTGCTATTTAAATGGCTGAACTCTGGTGGTCTGTTCCGTGGAGTCATCCCAGAGCACACTGAGGACTCTGGAGTCAAAAACCTCTTTTGCCACCACCCCAAAACTCTGTAAGAATTATTCTTGGTAGTAAAAAAAATAACTGTTTAAAGAAAGCTACATTAGTGAAAGGTCCTTTTGAGTGATCTATACATACACAGACAAAACCCTTTGATCAAACCCATCACTGATGATTTTAAACCTTTATATGGTCAAATCTTTAGTTTCTGGAGCTATGAAGCATCTTTGCTCAGAAAGTGTGACCTTTGGTGTTTGTTATAAATATTGTTCTTTTGTGGAGAGTCTAGCTGTGGAGACTTCAGGAAGGCAAATCTTAAGAAAGCATCTCTGCTGCAGCTTTTCCTCTTTCAGTGCTGTGCCCTATGGCTCTCATTGTACTGGAGACATACTGCTGTCCACATGACTGGGTACCAACGGGCCAGGAAAGAGGAGAACTCAGTGTTAATGCCACTTGCTAGGCAGCATTGAATCATTTGTAATAGAAATACTTTTGTATTCAGTAGTTCTTTATTACGCATTCTCCCCCATGAATTCTATATTGTATCTATTCACTTTTTAATGACCAGACTAGTTAATTGCTCTTGCGAAGGCTGGTACTTGGCACAGCCTTCCAGCAAGAGCCATGATGTATGTATCAGAGCAGCCACAGAGTGGCCTCTTCTTTAATTGTAGCTCACTGTTTAGGATGGGTACAACTGGGTATTTATTTATAGAAAGGAGCCTCTGACAGTGAAGCATTGACTTTCACAGAGTAATTTTACTAAACTGAGTTTTCTGAGACATAATCTCAGTGACTCCAGATATCCAGTGGGGCCAGGTCTGCGTTATGAAGTCAGGCCTGCTGAACTGGTGCTTAGCAACAAATCACTACCTTTTAGCTTGGAGTGGGAGGACAGTAACCTTTAGCAACTTCCTGAGGAGGAAACACAAATTAAAAGGTACTTTGATAAACAGGATTTCTAAAACACTGTCCCAGTGTGTCCCACCCTGTTGGCCATGAGATGTGCTCCCATAGCTGCCTTTGAATAAGAGAGATCATCTTCGGCTGTATGCATGACCTTAGAGGAATACTTGTGTACTTAAAAGCATTTTGGTAATTGATGTGTAAATAAATTGGTTTTCAGTTTCCAAGCACATGCCCACACCTTGCTGGTTTTCATGTTTTTACTGGGGGACGTAAGTATTTATTGAAGTCACTTGTGTATAATAACTAAGTAGCTTGACATTTTTACTTAAAACTTTGTGATCTAATAAGAGCATACACTTTTGTGTTTGTCATTTGGAAGCTTTTTGGGGTTTGGGTATTACCTGCTGAGAATACCTTGTAATATTTTTCAAGAGATGGTTGATGAAATCAGGGCAGGCCTGTTAGTAGAGGACTCATCTTGTTTCCTAAATAAAATCTGGGATTCATCTTTACCTTCATGCCTTTCCTATCTTGGACTACAGTCACTGTCTTTCTGTTCTTGGTGTCTGCTGCCAGACACAGGCCTGTGGTAATTATTTTATTTGTTTGTGACAAACAAAGCTTGCCCGGAGGTTAGAGTGTAGAGTTAGCCATACTAGTTAGCCATAGAGGTCAGACAGTGGTGGCACGCACTTTTAATCCCAGCACTTGGGAGACAGAGGCAGCCAGATCTCTTGTCAATTCAAGGTCATCCCTGGGTTACATGAGATTGATCTAGTCTAAAAGAGAAACAGAGCCAAGCAGTGGTGGCTCATACCTTTAATCCCAGCACTAGGGAGATGGAGACAGGAGGCATATGGCTGGACAGAGAGAGGAATATAAGGTGGGAGGAGACAGGAGCTCAGGATTCGGTCCGAGGTTTTGTAGAGAAGGCTTCCAGTCTGAGGATTCCTAGAGACTGGATCACCCAATCAGTCTGAGGATTCGATAGAGGTGAGAACTAGGGACTGACTGCTCTGTTTCTCCGATCTTTCATCTTTCACCCCCTAATATCTGACTCCGTGTTTTTATTATTAAGGCCAATTAGAACTCGCACTGCTCATACTGTTTTGTGAGTTCTCTGTGATGTTCCCGAGATGGGGATTCTGTAGGAAGTGCCTAGGCCTCACAGTGTGTGAACAGTAGTCTGTTGCTTCCTGCATGACTAAGGCTGTTTGTTGTCAGGCTCTGTCTCCTGCCCTTCCTCTGCGTGTGCATAGACATGTCATCCCCCAGTATACCCTTTGACGTGCATTATTTGGAGTTGAGAGGAGAATGGCAGGTATTTCTCTTGACTCCAGCTTTCCAAATGAAACCCACCTCTTCCCAGGACACTGGCCCTGGTTGGATACAGTTTTCCAGGTTAGACCTTATCTCCTCCACAGTCCAATTCTTTCACAATCCAGTAAAGTGAATTTGGTTGTTGTCTTTCTAAGCTAACAGAGGAACTGACTAGGTAATTCCCTCTGTCTGCCATCCCTTGTGGGGTGGGAGATTTTGTCTATACGTCAGTACCCCCAGTTGAGTTTGACCCACAGCACAGACAAGGTTACTGCACAGCAGTGAGGGTGTGAATACACATGGGCCTTCCACCACGGTTTCAAGTGGGTGGGGTAAGTGAAGACTTATTCTCTCTTGTGTGCTGTGCCTTCATGATATATCTTTGGCTTTTGCTGTGGCAGCTAAACAGAGCTGTCTCATGAAAGTTTTCAGTCTCAAAGTGGTTGGGGGACTAGAAAGCAGAGAATACCAGAAGTTACAGGAGTGCGGGCATTTTAAAATAGGTCTCAGTCTGCCTCCCTGTGTGATTGACAGTAAAGCTTTGGTACCACAGACCTTTTGTGCTTAGCTCATGATAGGAGGAGCTTCCAAGGGGTGGGTGGGGCCTTTGGTGGCTGCCATGGATTGAAGATGCTGGGAGAAGAGAAGGGTGGTGCGTAGGCCCACGCAACACGAGGTGGAGAACTTAGTGCTCTGAGACCCATTTCTGGGAAGTGATAGAGGCTGCCCTGGGCTTGCTATTATCATATCTCCAAGTAAATTAAACTTTAGATTCTTAAGAACTCTGTCTATTAGTATATTTAAAGAATATGCTTGTCTTAATTTATTAATGTTGCTGTGAGAAAGACCATGACCAAAAGCAACTTAGGGGAAAAAAATATTTACCTCATCTGATAGCATACTTATGAAGGGAAGTCTGGCCTCTTCTAGCAGGGCAGAAACCTGGACACAGGAGCTCAAGCAGAAATCATGGAGAAACATTTTTATTGGTTTGTTCTCTCAAGGATTTCTCGGCTTGCTTTCTTGTACAGCCTGTGGCTACCTGTCCAGGGATGACTCTTCTCATAGTGATCAGGGCCCTCCTATAACAATCATTAATCAAGAAAATGCCCCCACAGACTTGCTTACAGGCCAATCTGATGAAAGCATTTTCTCAATTGTCTTTTTTTTTCCCAGATGACTCTGTGTCAAGATGACAAAAAACTAACCAGCACAACTGACCCCTTGTTAACTTGATTTACTAATTTATCACTATTAAGTCATAGCCTTTCCTTTCTTTTTTATCCTCAAGATACCATGTTGCCATCACAATATAAAACATAGTATATAATTTTAAATGTCTGTGTCTTTAAAGATTCAAACACATTAAAAGTTTAGTCTCTTTAAAATATCCAAAGTCTTTTTAAAATACCCATTGAAGCAAAACCCAAGTACAGATGTTTAAATAGCCCAATGGAGCTCAACCTTTTGGGCTCCAGAGGGCTTTGGGCTACTCTGTTTCACTGGCTCTGCCATCAGCAGCACATGCAGCTTGTCGCACAGGCTTATGCTAGCTGCCCTCCACACCTTGTTCGTCATCCCACAGCCCTGGTGTCTCCAGTGCATGGTGATCTCCATGGACTACATCTTCAGCAAAGGCCTCCTGGCCTCTCTTCAGCACCACGACCCTGCCACATGGTGCTAAACTTTACCTCATGACCCCTTCAGTCCTGGAGTCTCCTCTGCAACTGAGGCTGTACTTTCATCAGTGCCCTCTCTGGATTTACACAGTGCCAAGCCAGCTACTGTCCATAGCCCCTTAAACCTTGCAGCTCTCATGCCATCAAAACCTGTTCCATCTGGATAGTCTAACACATTATTAAGTTCAGCCAATAGTTTGAGATACAACTTTGACCATCCCTGGACCACACATCTCTGTGTGGTCATCATGAGGGAGTGCTTCCCAGAAGTTTTCATCTCAGTGATCTGGTTTCTTTTAGTCCTTACTGGTTCTTCAGCTCCACCATTAATTGTCCTAGTAAAGCAAAAGTTTCACTTCAGTGATTCTGGTCTCTTGTGGATCACAGCTACATTCTTCAGTAATGGCTGACCAGAAAACACAGATTCTTAACTCCAGCTATCCTATGAATGGCCCTTTCCTCTACAATATACAATCCAGGCCTTCATCTTTTTTTTTTTTCTTTTTTGATTTTCGAGACAGGGTTTCTCCGTAGTTTTTGGTGCCTCTCCTGGAACTAGCTCTTGTAGACCAGGCTGGCCTCGAACTCACAGGGATCCACCTGGCTCTGCCTCCCGAGTGCTGGGATTAAAGGCGTGCGTCACCACCGCCCGGCTCCAGGCCTTCATCTTAACAGCTCTGCTCTCCCAAAGTTCCAAGCATTTTCACAATTCTCTCCAAAACAACATGGTCAGATCTGTCACAGCAATACCCTGTGATCCTTGTACCAGTTCCTGTCTAGTTTGCTTGCTATTGCTGTGAGAAAGACCATAACCATGCAGCTTGGGAGAAGAGTTACTCATCTTACAGTAACCAAGAACTCCAGCAGAGCAGGAACCTGGAGCAAGAGCTCAAGTAGACCCATGGAAGAACATTGCTGACTGGCTTGCTCCCCGTGGCTGGCTCAGCCTACTCTTTTATACAGCCCAGGGCTACCTTGCCTAGGGTTAGCACTGCCCACAGTAGGCTGGGCCCTTCTATATCACTTATTAACTAAGAAAATGTTCCCACAGGTTTGCCTACAGGCCAACCTAATAAAAGCATTTTCCCAGTTGAAGTTTCTTCTTCCCAGGTGACTCTAGATTCTGTCAAACTGACAGAGACTAACTAGAACAATACCCAGTGTCCGCGTGTATATTCAGTTAGGCAGTGTAGATTACTTGATGGCTCCGATAGGCTAAAGAATGAGACCGGTGACTTTAGTATCTACATATACCATATTAACATGTAGCTTCTGGGTCAAATTCCTTAAGATTGAGTTAGATTCGATATGTTTAATTTTGTGCTTACAAGACTTCTTTCCAGACTGGCATGCTTGAACTTTGGCAGTAGAGGACAGAAGACAGTTTCTGGGAGGTGGTAGGGCTGTTTGGATGGCTGATGCCCCATTGGTGGAGTACCAAGATGAGTGTATCCTCTTAGTGTGCACTCAGAAAGTGAAGCTAGTTCTCAGTCACTTGTGGGCCAGGGTGGAGCTGCCTGCAACCACAGGGTATGCTCTCAGTAAGGTGAACAGAGATGGAAATTTACTCAAGGAGCATGCTTCTTTCCCCGCAGCTTGTTGGGTTTCACTGAGCAGATTGTCACTCAGGCTCCCTGTTCTAAGAAGACATGGATGTGCTCATAGGCTCATAGGCACAATGATGTTTTGAGCAATAGTGGACTGAATAGTGATGGCAGTGATCCCATAAGATTGTAATGCAGCTGGAAAGTTCTAGTAACACTGTAGCAGCCTGAATGTTGTCGTGCAGTGCATTAGCTCATGTGTTCGTGTTGGCACTGGTACAAGCCCTCTGTGCTGCTGGTTCCACAGAACTACAGCTCATAAACTGTCTAATAATAAACAGTCATGATCTGCACATCATAATCAGTCATCATTAGTGTAGAGTGCATGCTCCTGCTGTAAGCCAGGTGTGGTGGTACACACCTGTAGACCCAGCATTTGGGAGACTGAAGCAGGAGGACCCTGAGCCTGAGGGCTGGACTGTGGAAAGACAGTGTAGAAGTGCAGTAAATGAAAGAAGTGCTGTGAGACAGTGCCCTGCACCACACCAGCAGCAGCCTCACCTGTCTCATCGACGCCAGCTTTGGATCAGGGGACCATGTGGACTAACTGGCTGGTGAAAGCCTCTGAGATTTGTACAACAGTAAAACCTTGTAGGTTTCACACTAAGCATGTGTCCACATTGTCAGTAAAAGAAAGGTGTGTGAGAGGTGACAGGGTCCTGAAGGCTAGAAAATGGGTTTCTCTGATGCCTAGGGAGCCACAGTGGCTTTACATTTTTAGTTTGGCCTTTCTTCCAGCTACTGTTTCTCTACATCCATTTCTCATTGTCATAAATCGTCTCTGTCCAGTCTTCTGGCTTGTTCACTGCTACTCACAGCTCTACTGTGTCCTGTGAGCTCATTACAGTTCTTTCAAGTTTGAATTTCTTGAGTATGTCTCTTAATTCTCAACTCTAAGATTAGATTTCTTGGGAAGCCCCGTATGCCCCATCTCCTCTTCAGCCAGAGTCCTTGGCCCAGAGTTGTGACAGGGCAGTAGGGTTCTGAGACTCAGCACTGCGCTTCTGTGTGTAAGGTGCTCAGGGAGGAAACCACTTGCCAGCCTTGGGGAGCATTGCCTCAGGAACCAGGTGAAGACAAATACTGGTGGGAAGACACCTGGCCTGCTTTCCTTCACATTGCTGGGGTACCTTATAGGACTTGGTTTCCGGACTTACTAGGAAGTTTATGAATATGCTTAAGGGGGAAAACTGTTGAATCTTCAGAGCTTGGAAGTGTAGTTTATGGTCTTAAAATATCTCTTAGCTATATTTTTATATTTTTCTTTATAGATGAGGAAAAAGTACGGTTAGAGTTGCCTTGCCTGGACTTGTATGGATCTGATGCATGTTCCAGACAGGCCTATGGTACACATCTTTAATCCCAGCCCTCAGGAGACAGAGGCAGGCTGATCTCTGAGTTCAGGGCAGCCTGGCCTATATAGTGAGTTTCAGACCAGGCAAAGCTATAATGAGACCCTGTCTCAACAAAACACAACAAAGAACCCAATACAAACTCCTCAGAGCAGTGAGAAACAGCAGACATCATTTGATTTTCCACCCGCTGATATTCACAAGGAGACATTGTGTCTGGGTCTCTTGGCTTCTTCATAAACACTGACTGAAGGTGTGTCATTGCAGGCTGGGAGTAGTCCTCCATCCACGACGGCTCCAGTGTCTTCCTTCTCTCGCACTTCTGTCACACCATCCAACCAGGACATCTGCAGGTAACACTCTGCTTCACGTGCTCCCGTGGCCTGTGTTGGCCCAGAATTCTCGGCTTTCCATTTGCTCCGTCATTCCACCTTTGGTCTAAACAGCCCGGTGTTATGTGCTGTTTGCTCACCAAGTTATGACCCAGTCTCATTCTGCACTCTGATGTCTGCTCTCTTTAAACTTGTTTTTCCTTTCTGTGCTTTATCCCACTGTTCTGCGTGCAGTTCCAGTGCACTGTGTTCTGAGTGTTGTCACTACAGTCCCATGCAGTCTGCTGTTGTCTTGAAAGCTCCTCCATGCCAGAGTTCTCTGACGCCAGGGCTCACTGTGACAGTTATCTGTAAAGACACATTACAGGCATCAAAGAGAAATCCCTTTGGTTCAGACTGGGACCAAGCCTTGAGGCCTGCTAAGAATACTAAGGCCAGAAGAGCACTCAGATTCTCCAAGTCCCTAAGTGATGTGGGTGAGAAAACCCAGGATGCTTTGGAAAGTTTTGACTACATGGAAAGAACTTGTTCTGAAGGGAAACTGGTGCTTCCTCAAGGTCCATCCCTCAAAAAGAACAAGCTCCATCATAAAGAAAAAGGAGCAGAACACTGCCCACCCCATGACCGTTCCAAACACTCGCAGGCCTTATCCCTTTCTACCAACCATTCGGCTGCCTCGAAAAGGGAAGTTGGTAAAGGAAACATACGCATCCCACTTTTGGAGGAGAAAGCCGATGGTGAGGCCAGGTTGAGAAGCCAGCGTCTGCTTCGGTACCTGTTCTCACTCTCCCGTGGCTCAAGTGCCAGCAGCCTGCATAGGTTCCATGAGCTGGAGAGCCATGCCAGCCATCTGCGTACTGCCAAGTCCTCCAGCTGGCTGGCAGGGAGCACGGACTTCTGTTCTGATGAAATGGGAGATGACGACGTCTTTGAGGATACATCATCTGCCAAACTGAAGAGCAGGGTCCTGCGTGCACCCCTCTGCTCAGTAGAGAAGGACAGTGACCTGGATTGTCCTTCTCCGCTCTCTGAAAAATGCACCCCCATCTCTCCTGTGTCCACCTCAGGGGATGCCTGCAGGTTGGTTTACCAGGGGCCACCTTCCAGCTGTCTGCTAACACCTTCATAACTTTGCCTTGATTTACTATGTGAGCTTTCTGCAAAGTGAGTAGTAGACATCTGTTGCCAGCTGTAGAGCATTTGTGTTTTCCAAACAGTGATACCATTAGGAAGCTAATTTCATAAGCTGCAGAAACTACACATATTAAACCGACTCCTCTCAGCAAGATAAGTAGGCTTTGCCTGAATATGTGGGGAGAAGGGAAGTAGCACCCCAGCTTCCTAGCCTGCCCCTATGAGTGGCTTGTCTCTAGTAGTCTGTCCACATACCTCCCTTCCTCCCTTTCTTGTTCCCTCCCTCCTTTCCTTCCTCTTGTGTGTCCTGCCCTTGCCCAGGTCCTAACTCTACTTCCCGCTTGTATTCTTTTTGTGCAGCATCTTTGCTGGGCCCAGTTTGAGCTCATATGTTCCCACTCCTGTACCTCCCCTAGTCTCCTCTTCTTAATGTGCTTACATTGCTTGTGGTTGGATCTGAAAACCCATTTCTGAAATGAATAACATAACAATCTAGCCAGGCCTGGGGCAGGCCTTCTTCACAACAGCTATTCCTACCTGTTATCCAGCTGTTGGAAAGATTGCTGTTCTCAAAAGCCTAAATTCATGGAGTTTAGTAATTGAATCCAAGATGTTCCCTTGGAAATAATGACTGCCTTAATAATTCTCCCTTTAATGCCATGGTTAGTCCCCAAGAGAAATGAAGCTGCAGAATCATTTGAATTTTAAGTGGAGAGAAAGTACTGTGATCTCTGCTTGATTTCCAAGAGAGGGTGGGCGGTGTAGCTCTTGTACATGTGATTTCATAGAGAGGCTTCTTAGAGTGGCCTTTGAAGTCACTGTGCTATTTTGAAGTTGAGGATTCTGATTTGGGTTTTGTTTTTCCTCTAATGTCTTATGTTCTGGAAGGTGTCTTTATTGTTGCCTAATTTTATCTTTCAAGTGTGAAGTCTTCCCTAAAAATGCCTGTTTTGTCATTTCTTGTACCGTTCTTCCTTTTCTGTTGCCCAATGCCGTCCTGACGTTGCTGACATGGTAAGCTGACGTTCAGCTAGTCGCGTTTTTTCTCATTTGTGCTTGTGTGTCTCTGTGCTGATGGTCACTTTTACGCTGTTTATTTCTGAACTTTCATTTGCGGAGGAATTGGCCTTCTGGTAATGCACCATCTTCCCTGCTGTGGGCCCTTCTTCCACTGATGAGTTTGTCTTCCGCCACAGGATCTGCCACTGTGAAGGAGATGACGAAAGCCCTCTGATCACCCCCTGTCACTGCACAGGAAGCCTTCATTTTGTGCATCAGGCTTGCCTGCAGCAGTGGATCAAGAGTTCTGACACACGCTGCTGTGAGCTCTGCAAGTACGAGTTCATCATGGAGACCAAGCTGAAACCTTTGAGGAAAGTACGTAAGAAGGGGCACTCTGGGAGAGTTATCCTTTCAGACTATCCTGGGCCACCTGTGGTCACTGCTTTAAAAATCGGGGGCCGGAGTTTGTGTTGTAGATCATCGTTTCTGGTAGTGATATCTCAAGTCCGACCTTCATTTATAATGTGTCTCTTCTTTCGCACTGAGACTATCCGGCTGTCCCTCTTTTCTCCCTTGACCACCAGCTGTCTTGAAACAACTTGCTCCGTGCTTACCTTCTTATGTATTAACTGTGTTTTGTGTCTCTAGTTAGGACACATACTCCCCAACACTCAATGCAGTTTAGCACAGTCCACGTGTTTTGTATATTTTTGTTGGGTATTTGCTGGATGAAAGGGTTTGTGGATGAGGAGGTACCCTAAGTCACTGCTGTCTCCTTGGCACTGGCTTTTTGTTCATCCTTGTCCGTTTCATATGTCTCTTTCTATGCCCAGCACAAAAGATCACAGTTGGAAGGAGAAAAGAGTTTCACAGTGTCAAAAGCATTACTAGGGATCTCACACGTTATGGAGCCAGTTAAGTGCTAAGTTACTTGGCAGTGGAGCACACAGAGAAAGAAGTGATCTTCACGGGAGGAGGGCGTTGTAAATAGTTTGACTTTGGGAGTCATTCTAGGTGTGGAAGATTTTCAGACAAAGTGAAAGGGCTTTAGAGGGGTCAGATTGCCTATGGAGAAAAGAATCCTCTGAGGCCGCCGTGAATGTGAGCACTTCAGGTGTGTGAAAGGGTTGAGCTGTGGGCCTTTTAGGAAAAAGAGAATCCAGGCGCAGAGGACACCAAGATGCTGACTGTGCTTCGGTTGGGAAACCAGGGGATCTTGCTTTTCTGAAATCCCAATAGAAAGCAGTTGGGTATTAGAGAAGGCAGCTGCAAACTGCTCGAGAAAAGGTTTTGCCTAATCAAAATCTCCTGGGACCTACGCTCTGTGAATCTGTCACGTGATCTGGTAACACTTGGGTAGTATAGATCATCAGTGAAGCTCTGTTTTCAGCTTAGCCTGATAGTCTGTGGCCGTCATTAGCAGAAGATGTGCAGAATGTTTACACTTTGTTCTCTCTCTCTACTTTTATGTCTTTTCTTCTGAGTTGGGAACCAGTAAATGACAAGGCCAATCTGTTTGGAGTAAGTTAATGAGCTCCTAGAGGGATGGCACTGGCAAAGGCTGCTTGTACCAGGAACTCTTAAGCATCGATTTCAAGCTGTTGCTGCCAAAGTAGCAGAGGACCAAAGAGTGAGAGCTTCTGCTGTTCCCCTTCACAGCATCGATGTGACTCATTCTAGTGTGTTGTGATCTCATCACTCTTCCATCCCTCCATGTCAGTCACCACCTAGCAGCTGCGTCTCGACTGACATGCTCCTACGCCAAGCTCTTCATTGCTTCCAGGAGTGAGAGACTAGCTAATGGGAGGGCACTGCTCATCTCAATCCTAGTTTTTCTTCATTGCACAGAAAGTTCCTGTGTCTGCTACCTCTTTGAAGCCAAGTGGTTCAAAGTAGTTTTGGCTGTTTGGGCAAATCGATCTGGCCTGGGAGTGGGAGGGAAGGAAAGCCGGTCATAACTGTGAGCAGCAGCCACTCACATTGTGGCCCTTTGCTCTGAGTCTGAGCCTCACGCTCTCTGTGTTGTCTTTTCCAGTGGGAAAAGTTGCAGATGACTGCTAGTGAACGCAGGAAGATCATGTGCTCAGTGACATTCCACGTCATTGCTATCACCTGTGTGGTCTGGTCTTTGTATGTGCTCATTGACCGCACCGCAGAGGAAATCAAGCAGGGTCAGGTGACAGGTGAGTGCCTGGGCCATGAGATGAGTGTTGTACAGGTCCTGGGGCCCGCGGTCTGAGGTTCTCTCAGGCCATGAACACCTGGGTTTGTAAAGGGTGACTACCAAGGAGGAGACACTAAGCATCTCTTTGGATATTACTCTGTGTCTTCAAAGTCGGTCACAAGAGATGAAAATTGAGACTCCTGAGAGAGCAGGGGAAACCACAATGAGAGCCCTTCATGCTGCTTTTGGGGAGGGAGGGTCTGAGGAGTAACAAATCTTTTTACTGGCTGTGGAGTTTAGAAGCTGTGTCCTAGTTACATCTTAAGTGAGGCTCCTGATGTGCTAACCGAGTCTTCTCCCCTCTTGCAGGAATCCTGGAGTGGCCTTTCTGGACTAAACTGGTAGTTGTGGCCATTGGCTTCACTGGAGGACTTCTTTTTATGTATGTTCAGTGCAAGGTGTACCTACAATTATGGAAAAGACTCAAGGCTTATAATAGAGTGATCTATGTTCAGAACTGTCCAGAAACAAGTAAAAAGAATATTTTTGAAAAGTCTGCACTAACAGAGCCCACCCTTGAAAATAAAGACGGACATGGAATGTGTCATTCCACCACAAATTCCTCTTGCACAGAGCCTGAAGACACTGGAGCAGAAATTATTAACGTCTGACAGTGTGGAGGGCATCATTTCCCTGATGACCACAAGAGCTGACGGGATTTGTTTACTGCCAACTGTGTTCCTTCCTTCTGTCATTTAATAGCATAGACTGGGCAGGTAACTATTGATAGTGGCCTCTCTTTTTCTCAACTCCTTGGTGTGAATATCCTAGAATTCCTGTGGGACACGTGCCACTTGGGTCCCTGTCTGCCAGGTCCCTCTGTGAACTGGGAAGGTGGGAGACCCCAAGTAACCGTGTTGAGGAGCTGACTGAGCCCCAGCCCCTGGTCTTGAGCAGAATAAGGAAGTAAAAAGCTAAACCAGGGGAAAGAACAGTGTGGGGGAGACCAGTGGGAAGAAAATCCCCAGGGGACAGAGCTGCATAGCTGGGGAGGGCTGTGCTTGTGAGAAGGTTCCCTTCTCACTGACAAGAACTGGAGGCGGGAAGGGAGCAGTACCTACACACACAGACCCCTGCCTTGCTCAGCTGGTGTTGCCATACTGCTCTGGGACTAATACAACCTTGGGGCCCTGTGTCTGCTGGGATGTGACTCACTGAGAAAACAGCACTTTATAAAAGTTTTTATTTTGGAATTCTTGTGTCTAGTGGGTGTGATGCTTAAAAAAGTATCACATTTAGACATGTTCTCTTTATTGCCCTGTTATTCTTTGTATCAGAATTGATTTGAAACCATTTCTGCCTTACATATTCTGAATAGTAGGGTTTTCTTCCCATACCCAGAAAAGACTCATGACTTAAAGCAAGACAGACAGGTCTGAGACATTTTTCCTTAACAGAGTCCCTGGAAGTCTGTGGATGCTAGGTACATGCTCTGTGTTTTGAGCCTGTTTTTCTGATAAATCCTAGCTCCTAAACCACCCATACATTTCTGTTTTGTCAACATTGAAATGGAAGGGTTTTGAGATCTAATGGATCTAAATTAGGCTGAGTGTTTAGAAAATGCTCATTTGACTGACAGAAGTCTCCTGATGGAATGGACACACACACCCTTGTGATTCACCTCTGCTGCCCACTGTGTTGACAAAGTTCTGTAGAGTCACTGCTGAGGGTGGGACAGGCCAGCTCTGGGATGAGACCTTGGTATGAATAGTCAACTGCCATGGCCACTGTGTCACTGAGCTGGCCCGCACCCACTCATCGCCTTGACCAGACCTGACAGCTCCACATGTGATCCATTCCATCACTGGGGTTACCTCCTGCACCATTTTTCACAAAACAGACAAAGTCAAATCACCACCATTAAATGGCCTCTGTCCCTTTAAAAAGTGTTCTGAACATTTTTTTCTTGAAGGCCATTGTCACAGTGCCAGGCAATAGTCAACTCACAATGTGACATAGGAGAGAAGTGTACTCTCCTAAGAGCTGCTGTTGGTTACAGGGTCTTCAGAGCCTCCTGAGGTGGAAGGTGCAATGCCTGGGGTCCTGAGCTTTGCTGCTTTATCTGTCTTCTTCAGAGACTGAGGAAACCGAAGATGACTCTTTTGTGGTTCCCAGTAGAAGCCCTGTGCTTGGTTCACAGGGCAGGTGGAGGCTGGAAGGCTGTGGAAGCAGGTTGTCCTGTTATTCCCTGGTCTACTCTCTGGGGTCATGAGTTCAGTTGTGGAACTGTTTTGCCAGAGGTTTCAGCCATTATCCAATCAGCCCACCCCTTAGGTTAGTCTTCTCTCTCCCAGACCACATAAGCCTCCCTGTGCTCACTATGCCCCAAAGTGCAATTCCTGACACACCTTCTCTGTCTGGGGTGCCAGATAGCTGTAGACGGCCCGTTAGGGAGCCCTAGCTGTACCGCGCAGCAGCTACTACAGGTGAGTCCCTGGTCCCACATCTGTCCCTGATGTGAAGCTCCTACAGTGGGTGAGCAGTCACGTGAGGCGGAGATTGTTTGAAGCATGAAGTCCCAACTAGCCACTGAGGCCTCTGTAGAGAGGAGAGTACCTCATTGGGGGTAGTCCCTGCACAGCTGTCCCAGGGCCTTGTACCCCACATAGATAAGGTGACTTTAGAACCATGGCTTTTATGTTGTTCTCTTCATTTCAGGAATGCCTAACTCCATATCTTCTCTAGCTACTCTGATGAAATCTGTCCTTCATCTTCTTTCCCGTCCAGCTATCCCCTGCTCATTTTTCCTGCAGGTTCTCTGATCTAGCAAACACCTGTACCTGTTGGTGACTCAGTGCAGGAGCCAGCGAGGCATGCGCTATGAAGCACGATGGCAGGGCTCTGGGTCTGCCTGGGCTCTCCTAGTCCTTGTCTGCTTGCCCTCTGAGTAGTTGTGCAGGGTTATCTGTCTATCCCATTTCTCCTCAGTTTGAGCCTGAATATGGTGGGCAGATGGCATGTGGCTGAACCAAACAGATCTAGGATGAGAATTCAGGGCCAGGAGGCCTTAAGCTTGTGGGTCAGATAAGAAGGAAGTAGTCTCAGGGTATCACTGTCCAGCCCTCTCTCTAATCTGGCCTTTACCCCATGTGTCATGGGCCCATTGGCACACTGTTGACATTAACTGCCACAAGTAAGTAGGCGGTTGTACCCAAGTTTATGCAAGAATTCCCTGGAAATGTTGTAAAGTTCTCTTCTTACTCTGGGTTTCTTTGTTTTTACTTTCTGGCTTTAGCACACTCTTTAGTCATGTGACCTAGTTTCCAAACCTGTGGGTGTCTCCACCTGGACTCAGATGCAGACCTCAAGCAGTGGGGCAGGAGACAGTTCAAGGCCTTGGGTGGTGTCTAAATGACAGGAGGCTGAAGGCTGGATGGGCAGGGTGAAGAGCTATAATCTTGTGGGTGTGGTTAGATACACATGCATGTTTGAAATACCACCCCATCAAATCTGATTTGAAATAATGCAGCTTATATCTGTAGCCCCCCAAAAGCCCAAAGCATAGGAAGATGAGACATTTGTCTTTGTGTTGGAAGTGATTGATGAAGGTGTGTAACTGGTGCACATTTAGATGTAATGTTTAAAGTTGATTGTTAATAAAAACCAAATTTACACTGGTGTGTGTAGTGTAGTTTCTAAAAAGCACTTCACATTTTAAATTTTTCTTAGAAAATTTCTAGTAATCTAAATGTCTAATTTTTTAATCTTTTTGTGTATGTTCACTGTTTCTCAGTATTACTGCTTAAATAATTCTCTGTGTAGGGGATTTGTTTGTGCTATACACGGGGTGTCTAAAGGCAGCAATAAAGCTTTTCTTTACAAAGGAATTTTGTAATGAGAGTGTTTTCCAATAGGGAAGCTAGCATACCTTTTCCAGCCCACACATTAGTAAAGAATGAGGCCATAGGGAGAGGGGGTCCAGAGGTGAGAGAGGAGAAGGGGATTTGAATTGACGCTAAGATCCATATGACAGTTGTTTTAGTGTCTGGGTTACATCATTTAATCATTACAAACCTGTTTCAAGAGACAAACATTAGCCAGATGCCCTGCTGGAATGAAAAGGATGGAATGCAGACATTGATGCCTGTGCTAGCCCAAGGCACAGGAATAGATGAAGTGGGTACCCAGTCCTTCCAGGGCTCCCTTCTTAGGGGAAGGCTATTCATTCCTGATAGTAACAGTAGAATTTAGGAAACGGCCTAGATGTCCTTTAGCTGGTGGGTGATAATGGATAATGTGGTCTCTATTTATAATGGAATTTCGTTCATCTGCAAAGAAACATAGAATTGGCAGTAAATGGATGGAACTAGGAAACACTATACTAAGTGATATGACCCAGACACAGAAAGGCATGTCACATGTTCTCGGTCATACATGGGTCTTAGCATAAATTCAAGCCTCTAGATTTGTGTGTTTAATATGGAATATGTGTAGAGACCACACACCTCGAAAGGTCCTCAAAAGGTGGGGAAGATCTTGTGAGATGGGGTAGTAAACTTTGGCTTTTTTATTGGTGATGGAAGGAGAGCAGTGCATTTTGGGGGTGGCTGGGACGTGGACTGTGGAGTGACACCTGTTTTAAATGAACTTTATTTTATAACAAACTCTTCATCCAGGAAGTATCTTTCAGTACCTACTACATGCAAGCAGTTGGACAAAGCCTAAATAGAATAAGGTATCCTTGACCCAGCCGGAACAGATGTCACTTGGTGCTACTTAGTGTGGAAGTGCTGAGCCGGGCTGTGGGTCACAGCGGCACTGTTCCGCTGTAGGTGGGAGTCCCTGTACCCTGTATACCTCCACCAAAGACAAGGAGAAGCAGGAGCACGTGCTGAAGCTTTGCGGTGCCTCCCCCCACTCTAGACTAGCCAGGCGCGGGAGCAACACTGCTAGCTTTGGAAGGAAGAGGCACCAGCTGCCCGAAGGCCAGCCTAGAGCCTGCCAGGCAAGCTGGCATCTGGCTGGCAAAGCCACCAGCTTCCCAGAGAGATGCCGGGCCAGGGAAAGCCAGGCTCAGATGGCTACGCTGTTGGGAATCCTGTCTGGTGACAGGTAGTAGTAGGGGAGCTTTTTGTTCTTATTGCGCTCTGCGATCACACTGACGATGGCCTCCAGGTTCTTGCGGAATCGGGTCATGGCTTCCTTCACTGGCTTCTCAATGAAGTGCTCTTCGGGGTACATGCCCAGGTACAGCTGAGGATCAGACGTAGAAAGACAGCTTAAGATGTGCCATAGGGATCTATATCCTGTCTGATACATCTACAAATCCACTCCAGAACATAAGGCTCAGAAATTATTCTCAAAGAAGGAAAGGAAGAGATGTAAAAAGCAGAAGATCAGAATGTTTTCAGTGAGATTGTATCTCCTAGAAATATCAGAGACACTACACACATTAAGTACAGACTTACTAACATGGCTTCTTAAGGAGGACCAGAAAAAAATAAATATCAATAGACATGTTAAAATTTAAAGGAGGAAATCTCAAAAGGCATCACATCCCTAGAAATAGAACTCCAGACAACTAAGGAAATCTGATAGTGGAATAAATGGTTTTCACCAGGAGAAGAGGACAGCAGTTGATTACATAATACCAAATGGTCAGTCTTGAATAAAACATACATACAATTTAAACTGTCCAGATTGAGTAGGTTATACTTACAGATTTATGCAGTTGTTTGATTTTATTACTCTTTGATTCTTTGAGGGACCCACTACCCAGATCCCAAATAAATAGACATGTAGTCTTATTTTTTCTTTTAAAAAAAAAAAAAGATGTGCCATAGAGACTGCTAGGCCTTGTCCCAGCCAAAGAGGCTTCTTTTGGGAGAGGGAGGGGTATCTGCTCAACTCTCATCACCTTTGACCTTTGCCACCTTCTGGGATTGATTCATATATACACACAGTGACTACTGCTTGGCCATAGAAAGTGAAATCCTGTCTTTGGAACACAGATTAATCTGAAGGCCCCTGTGTTAGTGCACACACCTTTAATCTCAGCATTTGGGAGGCAATGGCAGGCAGATCTTGTGAGTTCCCAGCCCGCCAGGGCTACATAGTGAAACCCTGTCTAAAAAAGAAAGACTTGCCTCCTCATCAGAAGTTACCAGAGAAGAGAGAAAATGACAAATTAGTGAATCCAAAGGAGGGTAGGGCATAGTAGGGTAAATATAATGTAGTATATATTTCTAAACTAAAACATTCTGAATGTTACACAAGGAAATGCTATGTCAGATGCTATAACTGAGCAGTATCAATGTATAACAACACACTATCATAAATATCCAAATACTTTGTGTCAGTAAAAAAAAAATCACAGGGTATATAAATGCTACCTCCTTTTGCCTGAGGCTCAGGGATGGGTTTTAAAAGGACGTTACTTCCTTGTTGCTTTTTAGACAAAGAAAGGGACTGTGGAACCCGAAGGTTTCAGTTCTGGAAGTTCTGTGACCTCAGGGTCTTGTCCTGTGTCTTCCCCATCTTTCTTTGAAAGCTTGAGGTAGGCAGAGGCCCTAGGCTGATATCAGGAAGTGATGGTAGTGGTGGTGGGCGGGGGAGGGGGGCGGGAGGAAGGGGACAGCACCTTGCAGGGTAATATGCCCCTTGCTTGCTTATGCCAGTGTCTGTAAAGTGTTCAGTGACTGGAAAGTGGCGGGAGATCTAGGGTTTAGTTTGCAGAAGTCAGAGGACATCCTTTGACCAGGAAGTTAGTCTCCTAGGAATGGCTCCTCTGGTCATTCTGAACACAGAATCAGCACATTAGCAAGCCTGGGCAGGCTGAAGGGGCTCAACCGAGGGAACATCACCGAGACACATTGCACAGGGCTGTGTCTGCCAAGACCTTCACTTATCATAGCTCTGAGAACCTGGAAGGGACGTGGGGCTCTGACTTTCCATGTGGGGAGTCAGGGAACCACATGGAAGAGATTTATTAAAAACTGGGAGTGGGATGTTAAGGGGTGTTAGCACACACCCCTCTCTGACTTGGAACAGAGCCTATGCCCTCCACTGCCAGTCCACCCTGGACTCAGACCCAGGCTGAGGAACTGGGGTGCGCCCCCACCAGCAGCTCCACCTTAGAGGTCAAGATTCTTGGCTGTAGGTGTCCAGCGAGAGCCGGAGCCCCAGAGCCTTGGGCTGGAGAATCGGCTGAAACTGCAGTGACCTATTACAATTACACCACCTTCAGCAATTCTCGCCTCACCTCATTCTCTTGAAACTGGCTCAGTGCCCACACTGCGCCTAGATGCCAGCATGAGCGGCCGCGGTCTGGTAGAGTATCCACAATCTGCTCGATGGTCACCACACCCTTGGCTGTGGGCGGTGGGGCCCGCATGGTTGGAGGAGCATTGGGGATCCAGGAACACCAGTCATACTGTGAGAGCCGGAGCAACAGCGTGGGTGCCCGGGGAAACAGCAATGGCCCACCTCCGTCCCACATGCTTATATTTTTCTTGGTTCATGGGGAACCAGTTTGGCAGGCTCCACCCCTCTCTGTGGGAACTACCCAACTCTCTGAAGACCCCACCTCACCTTCTTTGGTCCCCCCTCTCCTGGTTCCTTAAGCTGCACCTTCCATATATCCCTATACTACCTCCTTTGTCCCCCTCCTTTGCCTTCCTTCCAGGGCTCCCAGGCCTCCCTTGAGGATATTTATGCCTCCCCCTCCTTTCCCGCCTTTCCAGGGTCTGCAACTGTCCAGCCAAATGGGTGTCTTCAGGAGTGCATGCAGAATCCATGCCTGCTACTGCTGGTTCCAAGTTCAGGGACTCCCTGGGCCAGCAGGGTCAGGGAGTCTGGAGGTATGAGGGGTGGCTCTGACTGTGGGGTGCCTGAGACCATAGTACCCCAGAGAGGGCTAGGTAGGCCTACCTGGCCGAAGTTTACAGCTGCATGTTGGGCCGAGGCTGTGAAGATCACCACAGTCAGGTACTCAGACAGCTTCTCTCTGCTCTTCAAGGACTTGGGGAAGCCTAAGATGGACCATAGACCATGAGCCCATCCCTGTGAGGGGCACCTGGCTCAGCCTCTGCCCTGCCTCCCCACCCATACTTTCCAAGATCTGCCCAAGAAAGACACTTGGAGAAGTGGGGGTTGGGGACTGCTCTGAGGGAGGCATTTGGTTGGGTGGGTACCCTGGAGTGGGGATTGGGTACCCTTGGTTTCCTGCCTCCTGTTCCCCATGGTTTTGAGATGCCCAGGCTCTGCAGCAGCAGAAGCAGAGAAAGTGACAGCCCACCTGAGGCTTTTCTGCCCCGCATGCCGTACACGTAAACGTCCTTCACGAAGTCCTGCAGCTCCTGGTCCTCCTCCACCACCTGGTCGTTCTCATAGTAGATGCTCACCACCTCAGCTGTGAACCTGGCTCAGGGGGACCAGCAGCAGTGGGTGCCCAGCAGGTCCCTCCTCAATGTCTGACTCTGGATGTCCTCCTCCTCCTCCTCCATCAACACCCGACTCAGAAGCAGGCCTGCCTCCTCAGCATACTCTTCCCCAAGGTTTCCCTTTCCCACAGAACCCGGCCACACTCACGACTGGATGGCCTTCCACACCAGCAGTCCGTCATCACGGTAGAAGTAGTAGGGAATGTCCTCCGTGCTGTCCATGCCCCGGGCCTTGATGGCCTCCGGGAAGCACAGGGAGGAATAGGTCAGGTCCTGGACAGCCCTCTGCACCATCTGCACGTGCCCGCCACCCCCAGTGGCATTGGCCTGGTGAGAGAGCAGAGCGCCTGAGCTTGGTCCATGCCCAGACTTACCAGCTTTGTCTATAAGAAACCTAGAGGTGGGGTGACTGGGCACAGAGTGTCCTGGGAGGTGCACTGAGATGA